TCTTTGCACATATTGGTGAGGAGGATCAGAAACACTGCAATTCTGTTTTCAAAATAAATAATGTTATAGAAAGGACAGGTAAAGATTTTCTGTCTTTTTTTTCCAAAACGTACTCATAACTGGAGTTTAAAATCTGTTTTGATAATGAACAAGGATTCATTGTTTATAGCAGATATAATTATTGTGAATAAAAATGTGTGATCTTGTCAGTGCACCTTGAATCACCAGGGAATAGTTTTATCATGTTATGAGCGAACAGGAGGAAGGATTACATCAAATTATTGTATATTGGGAAATGATTTCCATCTTAACCCTGTAAGCAGACTATAGAAAAACAACATTTTGCTATAAACAAGGCATTCATAATACATATTATTCAACAAAATAGGAAAACAATGAAAATACTGTAAATGTATTTGCTTTCTCACTTTAAACTGCATATTAACATCATTAGTTTGATAAATATAATGGATTTGATAACATTCAAATCCACATAGCTGAATTTCCCGGGGCATTAATTTACAGCTCTAGAAGGGTTGTTTACAAAGCCGATTAGTATTAAGCCACAGGATTCTGTAAAGATTACCACATACAATTAAATTTAGAAAAGAATGTATCCATGGGAACAGCCAATGCCTTACTTGAGAGTATATGCAAATCCTCATTTGATTTAAGAGAAAAATTCAGTGTCCCTCCCACACCATCTCTTAAATCAGCACAAAATAGATTTTAATCTATGGAGGTTTGCTGACAAATATATTGCATATTTTATTGTTTTCTTAAAGACCTAACAATCAGAGAAGAGAAGTCCAGTGGTTTCATTTAATGAGATAGCGCTTGACTCTTATGGGAGACATTGCTGAAATGTTGCTCAGTAGTGTACATGATGTTTATTTGCATAATTTACCTTAGTTAATTCTCTCAAATGTACAATATTCCCTTGAACTGCAGTAACACAGTGGAAGACTGACTAAATCTATTTTCCACAGTACACTCATGTTCTATTTGTGCAGGCTTCAGGTTGAAAAAGGAATGGACATTCACAAGATCCTTCAGGGCAGATCCATGTTTCAATAGCTCCCCCCCCCTCACCCCACCTATCTTCTCTGTGTTATAGAATCTCCTTAATATCCTGCTTACACAAATTTTAAAATTATCTTTGGTGCCTCATTTCTCCACCTCTGTCCTTCCGCCCCTCCCCCACACACCAGCCAACTAATTATTCTAAGATAACTATTGCCAGCCTGGCGCCTTCCAACAATTATGTTTGCTGGATGTTGAGGTCTTTAGTCCAACACATGTGAAGGGAACTAGGTAGGGTCACAATATGCTAGTGCTATAATGTTATTTCAAAGAAGTCCATTTTATCTGCAGTGTCTGCAGAGACAATGCAGTACAATAATATATATTTGCAAGCTGACACCTTTAAGTAATTTCTCGACTAATTTTGATTACAGAGCAGATAATTAAGCTTTCCATAGCCATCCATACGACAGAATCTGTGACAACACTGAACACATTTCATCACTTTTTTTTATCTGCGCTACTTCCTAAATTTATTTCTTTGAAATTCTGAATTATTTGTACTTAAGTTTTCTTAGTGGCTCAGGTTTAACTTTGCTATGTCTGAGAGTCTTAATGTTCTTTTGTAGCCAGATCTGCTGTATGATGTCATGTCTCTGTGTCATTTCTTTTAACTTCCAGATTGTCTTTCAAACTTTCAATCTTTGCATTTTTATAACATCTATAATATTATTCCTGACTATGGGGTTTTTTTTAAATAGGTTGTCCAATGATATAATTCTAAGTAAAAAAAAACTGTCTCCTTTAATGGTAACGTACATTATTTGCAAATGTGATAAATCAACCTTACTGTCTTTTGGACAGCTCTCTTGCTCATTCAGTTGAGTGGGACTCTGGACTTCTGCCTTCAAATTCTTCTCTTATAGCACTTCTCTATATTATCATGTTCTTATTTTATATCTTTTGCTCCTATTTTTTTTTTCTAAATTTCTTTCCTTATGTTTAATTTGTATTTTTTTTATGCTGTTCCCCAAACAGTATAGTAAATAAAAAGACCTCCATTCATAAACCTTTCTTCTGTATCAGTACCGTAATTTACATAACATTTCAATATGTGAGTTAACATGGTTTCAGCAACCGAACACCTATATGTAAAGCATACTTTGTACGCTGCCTAGAGTCGCATTTTTTGAGATAGGAGTTTGCTTCCTTGATATTTATTCCCCACAATATATCATAGATTACTTTTTTTTTAAAATCAGCACTTACATGTCCTAAAAAAATTCATTCATTTCCTCATCTTTAGTAAACAACCTTTCAATTTACAGAATTTTTTTTGCCATTTATGCATAACTTACAACTGTTCAGTCAAAGTTCATGTAAAAACCATGCTCTTTTGGGTATTAATTTTTAGATCCTTCTTATTGCATCTTAACACTAGCTAAAATTTGCTGTAAATCATTTGTTTTTAGCCAACAAAAGAGGCATCTACTGCATTAAAAATACACCAAAGTTCCCATCCCTTGTCCCATCATTACAAGCACACATTTATAGATTAATACATTTATTGTACTTCGCAATCAATCTTTATAGAAAAAATGTCATAATTCAATCCTATTCACTTTATCATAAGCCTTCTCTAAATCAACACACATTTTCTCATTTCAGTTTCATCTCAAATCATTTCTTCACTTCTTTTTAATTCCATTCACTCTGCTGGACATTTTTGGCTAGCCCTTTTCACTTATTTTCAAAAATATATGAAGCTGTACCAAAACTGCTATCAAGTCAAGCTTTACATTATTTGCATTATATGCAAGCCAGGATCTCTAATCTAGAGATTGTCTTGCAGGCCAGTATACTGTTCATTAGATCCTATCAACTTGGAAGTATATGCAGTATATTTACTACCATACTTGCAATTTGGGGGTCCTCCTAGATGCATGACTCCTGGTCAAGGAGCAGGTAGCAGTCATGGCTAGGAGGACCTTTGCACAGATTTGTCTGGTGTGCTAGTTGTACCTGTTCCTGATTTGGCAGGCTCTATTTACAGTAACTTGTGCCTTGGTCACCTCCAGATTGGAGCATTGCAATGCACTCTACATGGGCTGCCCTTGAAGAGTTCTCAAAAGCTTCAACTGCTAGAGAATGCAGTGGCCCAAACAGTCGTGTACTTTCCTAGGGCAGCATATGTTACACCTCTGCTCCATGATCTGCATTAATTACCAGTTTGTTTCTGGGTCCAATTTTTAGTATTTAAAGTCCTTCATGGCATGGGACCTGATTGTCTGAGGAACCCCCCTCCCTGGTTACATCAGCCTGCCTCATTAGATGCGGCAGAATAAGCATGTTGAATAAGCAGAATAAATATTGGCCAGGGTCCTTCATTTGATGGGACCCAAGAGACATGCCATTTTTGTTGCAGTGCCTGCCTTATGGAATATTTTTCTTTCTGAAATTAGACTAGCTCCTTTCCTCAGGTCTTGAATATGTTGTCAGGCCTGGAGCTGGCAGGCAACTGGAGACCTGCTCACATGGTTCCATTATTGAGATGGCCATTTGTATCCTGTCTCTCCTATGGCTTGTATTTCAATTTTTATGATATTTATTAGTAAGGTTTTTATATTGTATACTTTTTCTTTTTCTTTTTTATTGATTTTTATTTGCCGCCCAGAGTTGCTTTTGGTGAGATGGACGGCTACAAACATTTAGCTAATAAATAAATATTAATCGATAAATGCTGTTGTGCTCTTCAAAGCAGTCCTCAAATCCACCTTCTTTAGGAAGTTTTTGTCTTAAGTTCTTAGTTCTTATGCTTTGATGCAACTTAGTATGTAAGAACACTTCCTTTAGACCGTTTGCATTGACATCGGAATGCGTTTCAAATCTCAGTGTTCCTACAACAATAGAATTATTATCTAAAACTTCTTTTTACTGGTTCCATGCTGATTTGTTGCAAACCAGAACAAAACTGCTATTTTCTTATGCAACATTGCAGTTCTGCAGAACTCTAGAGAGTAGTTGACTTTTCCATGGGTAGAAATCTTCTTTCACTGTGTCTCCTGACCCTGAACTTCAGCTTCCTGATTCTGGAATCTATAGATATAGTTTAGTATCTCTCTCTCCCTGCCCCCTGTTTGTTGCCATGGCAGCATTCTACCATATCTATTGGTATTGCCGACTACAAAAAATGCTAACAAGTTATCCTTTCACTTTTGCAGCTTGCTAGAGGATTTTAAATTTAAGAAAAAAAGGAAGCTGTGCATCTGAAAATGTTTTCCTCATAATAACCACTCCAATTTTTAAGTATTTTTGACAAATGATCATAGATGTGTACATGACATGAACTCAAAATGAGCATGGGGACATTAACAATTTTACATGCCTCTTACATGAAGTGAGATGACTTTTTGTTACTTCGGGATTTGTGTTAGTTTAGAGGCCTGGCAGTGGATGAGGAACTTCTGTTGTATATTTTTACCAGTCAGTTGAACGGGAGCACTGTTTAGTTCATGATGTACCCTGCATATCCTTTAAGATCAGACAAAATGATTGCAGATCAGCTTTGAAAAGTTTTGGAGGAACTGAAGAGTAGAAATAATGGTTTATCTTATTTTCCTTCTGTCAAATTTTAGATTATAAGATCCTCAGAAGACCAAAACAGTCCTGAAATATTTGCAACAAATATCACTATACATTTGTAAAGTGTATAGTGTTTACAAATAAAGAAGTATAGTGTTTACAGAAATAAGAATAGGGGTGACAACATTCAAATAGAGTACCTCCTCTGAAATTCATTCATGTAAAATCCTTCTATATTATTCAAAAGTCTTGTACCAAAGCCTTTAATAAATGCTCTCATATTTATTTTATCATTATAATTTTACATTTGGCTTACAATATGGGAATACTATGTACACTAGTGTAAACTCTTCCAAAAAAAGTCAATCTTGATGTTCCTTCTGTTGTTATTTTAGGAACACAGCTTTTTAGCAGCAAGAATGAATTTCGAATCAGCACCCTGACATTTCATCCTCTTGATCCAAATGTTTTTCTTTGTGGAGGATTCAGTCCAGAAGTTAAAGCCTGGGATATAAGGTCTTCTAAGGTAAAAATAAAATTGAAACGAAAATTATTTGTACTTGCTTTTGATAACTATTCTGGAAATAATAAATGTATGTGGATAATACATTCTCTCTAAAGCAAAAACTGAATAAAGAAGAAAAAAGTAGGAGCATGTTTGATAAGTTTGTTTTGTTTTTAATTTCCTTGTCACTTACTACTGTGCATATTCTGGCAGTTGTGATAGCTATTAAAAAGTAATTTTCACCTGTAGAAACTGATTTATTAGTAAGGCATCATTTGCTGAAATAAGCAGCAATTTGTGAATTTTTGAAACTGTCTGCCAGAGGGTTTTTTTTTCCTGTTTTTCTGTTCACCTGCAAGAACCTTTAACATTTATTTGTGGATTTCTAATGTTAGAGTCTGGATCTATCATCACGAAGTTTGATATCAAAACACCACTCTGTTTATCTGAGGAAAATTTGATTAAACACAGTGGGACTTACTTCCAAGCAATCATGATAATGATGCACAGTTACAGAACATATAATGCTCAATTTACAGGAAGTACTACACAGAAGGAGAATATGATAATTAACTATTATTTCATATGGTAAAAGTAAGAGGTTGCATATAAAAGGAAACTGACTAATTACCCAATAATAATTGTCTCTCATTATAATACGGTAAAGGGCAGTGATCAGGTTCTCTAGAGAGTAGTCTAAGGCAATTGAATATGATGTAAGTTATTTTAAGAACTAATATTTTGATGCTTTAATATCCATAGAGAGATAATCACAAGAAAGAACATGTCTGCTCTTAGCACATATTTTGAATATTCTAGCATTTGTCAGCCTTACTAAAATCCACACTTCTGGCCCCACTGGATTTTCTACCAATATTCAACTTGGAAGTTTCAAAACCCTTTTTCATATGACTTCTGAGTTTTTCTCTATTAATAATAATTTTACATCCTATTTACATTTAAATCTCTCTTGTCCTAAGTTTTAATATTCTATAGCATTTTTGATTTAAGGACCTCTTCATCAAAATAGTTACAATATGTTTCAATATTTCTGATTTATTATTTACAGCCAGGTTGATTCTAATGTTATGCAACTCAGGTCACTTGGCAAGATATGCACGTTGAAACAACTTCTTTGTGACCAGTGATATGTTAGAGGTGGATGGGTAGAGAGATAAGGATATTTTTTGATAGCAAAACAGATCGCAAAACAGGTATTGATATGGGAAGTATAGAATCTGGCAACCTTAGTACAACATGCTAGCTAAAATGGTGATAGTTATGTTGGGCCAAGTATGCCAGGTGTAACTGCATTGAAACCTGCAACATCTGCTAGAGGAGACCCATACTCAGTAGAAGGCTACTCTGACCATCACAGTGTTGAGCATCTTCAGACAATCAGGAAGCTGAACCATAAAACAAATTCAGTGGTCATTGTTTTTCTCCTGCTTTAATTTTAAAATTACTTCCATCCTCAACAGCCATGATAAAGGGGCCCATGACCTTTCCAGGAAACCATAATGTGAATGCTCTGATACTGACTCTCAACCTGCCACTGTCATACCTCCAGAAAAATCTGCTGCTATCAATGTTCCAATAGCAAATCTGCTTCACAAATTACAAAAACAGCAGCACCTAGACTACTATGCCCAGGCCCATCAGAGTGGAATTGAGACCACTCATAATAATCCTCCTCAATAATGAATATTGAACATTGGATCAGAATCTATTACACTTGTAAGCCTAGTATTACATTCCTGTTGGACTTCTGTGTGGGTACAATCCTGAAACTGTGCCATGACATCCCATTGGTCATTTCAAGATTCTGCCCTCAGTGGCCAGAGATTTTTGGTGGCCACATCTCAGAATGAAGGTAGAGCAATGTGTTCCTTTATGCCTTGTTTGCTGTCTCTCCAAGGCATTCAGAGGCAGCTAGTTGGAGAACTCCCACCATTGCCAACACCAGAAAGACCTTGGCAAACCTTGGCAACCTCATCACAGAGCTATCTCTGTCAAAGGAAGCATTCTCACCAAGATGGTTCATTTCATTCCTTGTACAGGCTTACCCACTGACAAAAATGTGGCAAGTATCTTTTAAAATAACATATTCCAAATATGTTTCAAGTTTCTTTTTATTCTACATGGGTTACCAGAACGCCTGATGTCAGACTGGGGTCCACAATTCACTTCTTGGTTTTGGCAGACACTCTGACAGGTTGACATGCAACTTCATCTTTCTTCGGTTCATTATCCACAATCAGATAAGAAAATATGCTTCACTTCCCATTGTCTTGGATGCATCTTGCATATTTTTATCAAGTTCATGTTCCTTACTCTCTATAATACAGGACATCCCCTTGGTTTTCAGAGGGTCTCTAGGAGATAAAGCAGAAAATAGCTAGATCGTAGTTGAAGGAAGGCAGAACATATATCTGATTGATCATGGGTTTATACTCAAGTTCTGGCTTTCTCAGTGTTGATAGGAGAAGCAAAGGATTTCTTCTCCTTCTTACTGCACCAGTGTGTTGTCATCCAGTCTCATTAAGGTAACTAATTCCGTTCTGGGAAGGATCTAATTGCATTTGTAACCAGTTAACACATCATTTTGCTGATGAAGTCACTCAGAGTTGCTCAAGTCTGGATTTCACTTGGACAGAGTCTATTGTGGCATCTGGGACCTCTTGCCAGGATATCTGGGATTCATTTTGACCATTATCTTATCTACTGAGAAAGTAAGTGGGATGTTTTTGACAATATCCTTTGCTACTTGTAACCTAAACCTTTGTCCCTCCTGGCTTCTTTGTGTGCCCAGAGGAGGGTATATTCTCTGGATCTGAAAGATTATCAGTACCTCTTTTGGGGAGAGGGTGTTTCTAGCAGCTTCGAGCGAGGTTGTGGTACATTTTCTTCTTAGGAGTCCCTCTCTAGATTCAAGCTTCTTTTTTTAGCAAAGGTTGTGGAGACAATGCCAGTGCTTTAAGTTTGGCAAGGTCAGGAAATAAAAGCAGCAGGGATTTCACAAATGTACTTTATTTTTGTGAGCAAAATAATAGAACCTTGGAGATCTGTTGGAGTTTTTCTTTACCACGTTCTTATACTTAACAAAAACAAGATGTTGATTATTGATCAACTGATTATTTTCAGTTTCTTTCTCTCACTTTCCTCTTTCTCAAGATTGAATCACCATTTCCCTCTCTTAATGGTTCATTCTTCCTCCCCAAAGCCAGTTCTTCATTCTTTCCAGGATTAACTGTAGAGTGCCCTAGATGAAATGTCACCCTTATAAATCAGGATTTAGGATTTTTGGGTGCATTAGTGAATTATATTTGTTAAGATCTGGATGGGAGGTAGTACGTCTGTCCAGGTCCTGTTAAATATATCAGTACCATGAACCCGGGTATCCTTTGGGGACTGGAATTTGGGGGGCACTCTTTTAAAGTAGTTCCAGACTTTCTTTAATGGCTGGATCCAATCAGAAATGGTAAAGAAAAAGGAGGTTGATTCAGTGGCTGCTACCTTGTTGGGTGCCACAGGGGGCTGGTTTTCTTCCTCTAACTCTTTAATATCTGCATAAAACTGCTAGGTGAGATCATCTGACAACTTGGGATGCAATACCATCACTATCTCCTTGATATCCAACTTTGCATTACTATTTTAGGATGCACTGGTGAGATAGATGAGATCTTATCCCAGCATCTGGAGGCTGTGAAGATCTGGATGGGACAGAACAGCTTAAAACGGAATGCTTGCAAGATGGAGTTACTGTTTTGTCCTTCAGGATGCTTGAGAGCTTCCAGTAGTGAGACTTGTTGGGGAAGCATTTATCCCTCTAGAAGTAGGTCTATGACTTGAGGTTTCTTCTGTCTCCTGTTTGAACAAGGGATATGCATGTAGATTTGCCATGTTTTGATTGAAAACATAATAGATCATCCTTTCACCCTGTACAGTAGATACACGGAATTACCTATATTTAAATTATATTAAATTAAATATAGTTTTGAAATAAAAGAAGCTGTCACTAGTCTATATGTAAATAATAGACATATATATGTATCCATGCAAGCACTCAATTCTTATCATTTCCCTTTTTTCCACTTTTCCAATAATGTCTGTTCTCTGTTGTATTTTATTTAATTCTTGATGGTGAGCAAAGTTCCTTTGCTTGGAATGTTGGTATTTTGGCAAGCAAATAGCAGTGACTGGCTAATCCTTTTTTCTTAATATCTTTGCAAAATTTCAATAGATGGAATTAAAGCAAAATAATAACAGCAAGGGAAGTAATGGCTAGCTCATGCTTTGGATTGATTTATGGTATTATTAGTTAGGTGAGACTGTTACATTTTATTCTTTTCCAGCCCCGTTGGCCAGCTATAGGACACTGATAGCAGCATGTAGACATATACAGAGCAGAAAGGCTGTGCAGCTTTATGCTTGTCTATTGGCAGAAGACAGGATGATGGTGCAGTGATTAGAATGCAGTACTGCAGGCTACTTCTGCTGCCTGCCGGCTGCCTTCAATTTGACAGTTCAAATCTCACCAGGCTCAAGGTTGACTCAGCCTTCCATCCTTCCGAGGTAGGTAAAATGAGGACCCAGATTGTTGGGGGTAAGAGGCTGACTCTGTAAACCACTTAGAGAGGGCTGTAAAGCACTGTGAAGCGGTATATAAGTCTAAGTGCTATTGCTATTCTTCTCTTTTGCTGCACGTCATCCCAGGCATCCTATGCCAGAGTGCCGAAGAGGACAGAGAAATGCCTCTGTTCCTCAAGCATTGCAGCTGGTCATTAACACAGTTAAGTCACATGTATTGTAGCAAAGTATGAATCAGCTGACATTTTTCATTAAATCCATATACTTAAATACAATTTTTTGGGTTTTGCCTTCCATTAAAAAAAATGGAAGTTTTTTTTTTTTTTGCTTTGCTGTAAGTTGGCACAGCCCTCTTTCTTTTCACATACTCCTCCTATGTTTCCATTGTAGCCCAATAACAATTTCTATGAAAATTGCAAAATGCTAAAATA